CCTCATCATTCTCATCCTCATCAATGTCTTCCCGGCAGCTTGGGTGGGGCAATCTCTAAGGAAATGTCCCACCTCTCCACACTTAAAACACACAGTGGGCTTCTGGTCTTGCTTTGCCAATCTGGGTGGCGGATACCAGTCCTCTGGGGTTTTAGGATGGGGGCAGACCCTTCCTGCTCAATGGCTTGTTCAAACTTTTCCATTCTGCTCAGGAGGGCTTCCAGCTCCTCCCCAGCAGCGACATTTACCTTCCCGGGATCGTTCTGTTCAGTGTCCTCACCAGAGATCAACTTCCGCAGCTCTCTCTTGGCTTTATGCCTATGAAGCTGGGAGTGCTGGAAGTACTACATTCGCTCCACGGCCTCCTCTACAGTCCGGGGATGCCCGTCGAGTGCATAGAGGCCAGCGTCACAGTCCTCAGCCCCATAACACAGCCGAAGTATGGCGTGCGTGTGTATACAAGGGAAGGCTCGCATCGCCAGGGTCAGCACCCTGTCTGCCCACTGGCGAAGTGACTCTCCTGGATTCTGACTGGCAGACTGGAAGTTAAGTTGATGCGCGAGATTGGGGACAGAGGAGCCAAAACGCTTTTCAAATCTCTGGAAGATCTCGCCTAGGCAGAGCTGGCTACTGGTTTCTAACAGCAAGGTATAGTACTCACTTGCTGCCCCATCAAGGCAGAAACAAAACTGGTCATCCTGCTGCGAGACAACTTAACGAACTTGTGCAAAAATGCCTTCCATCTGGTCTTACCATCATACCTAAGGTCCTTTTACCGGGGCTTACTCCAAGTGGCTGCCCTACCTGGGCATGGTGTTGTGCCCTGGTAACCAGGTGAGCCATAATGTATTGGTGTACTAAAGTTGCAAGCCTGGTTAGCCAGGACTGACTGACTAGCATAGTATCACGGATGGGCTGCCCCATACATGTTTGGCTGAACGTGTGCTATCCTCTCCCCGTCCCTTCCAAAATGGCAGGTTGGGGTATCGGGATGGACAGGACTACAAGTCATTGACACAGGAACACTAAGGTGCTGCAGTGCACTGGGCACAGACATACCATGGGATGTGGCTGGAGTATTCTTGCCTCGGTTCAACACAGACTGGTTGTGGTTGGGTACTGGGGGTTGGGCATGCCTACCCCCAGGATTGATGTATGCTGATGAGGGCGCATGGTAAGATGTGCTTGTGCAACTAGCATATAATGGTGTAGATTGGGGTCTGGCAGCAGTCACACCAGTGTCTTAAGGCCAAGAGACTAGGTTACTATTTGTTTGTGACTGAACCTGTGCTGGGGACACTTCAATACTTACAGGGGCTGTGGCAGATATAGTGCGTGGCATTGAGCTCCGGGGTTGCAAATCATCCCAAGGGAAAAAGGGCGCACCAAAAGCTTGTCTAGGTTGGCTCTGTATGGGTACAGGGTCCCAGGTGAGCCCTACAGGATCTACGGGACTTATATGTTGACGATCATACTCGGAGGTGAGCTGTGCAGGCCTCACAGGTTGCTGACTAACACACGGTGTATGGCACGGAAGGGCGGGGTCAAGTGGGTGTGGTACAACCTCACTCAAGCAGCTTGGTCTATAACCAATGGTAGCAGGGCCTCCCAGGTTAGCTGTGTCTCCCACAAGGACAGGGTGGCTACTACTAGCTGGCATGGCCTAAGGAATAAGGATGGTTTAAACCCGAATTCAAGGGAACCTCACTATATTCATATTTGGGTGGGCTACAACCCATAGTGCTACCAGGTGAGCTACATCTACACAGGCTACCTAAAGAGGACTCCAGGGAATCACTGGTCATCATCCCTGGTGAGCTTAATTGAGGCTGGGTAAACCTGACCTCTTTTCTTGACACACCATGTAACACACTACCCTCCCCACAGGGGATGCCCCAGTGCGGGGTGGGCTTAGGTGTAGAGGGACCCCCCAGGGGCAACCCCCTCCCATGTGGCCTAACATTGACTGAGCAAAAGGTGTGTGACGGGAGACAAAATGCTCACTCTCGCTATAAGCGTATGGTGAATAAACCCCCTCCCCAGGATAACCCCCACCCTACCTGGAGTGTGAGGGGTGATAATGTCTGACCGCGTGACAGCCGGGTCACTACCCAGGCCTTAAGCCGACACGGCTTCCTCCAGGGACATATCCATAATCAAATTGCACAAAATAAATCTCAAATAAATCACAGACAATCTACAAAATCACTAAATCACTTGCAATAAATATATACACAAATTGATTCCAGTTAATTCAAAAAATCATTGCATCAGAAAAATACTGTAAATATCACGGCCGAGGCTATCCGCACGACGGTCGTGCCGATTACCGAAGTTATCCGCCCGACGGTCGTGCTAATTACGGAAGCTATTCGCACGACAGACTTTGAAACAATTTTATATTTGTTTTTTGTTTACAACTTTATATTTATATAATTAATATTTGTATATACTTTATTTATTTAAATAAATTTTTAATCGGTGCTTTGCTATTGTATGTAGAATTTTACATATTAGACGGACACAAAAAGTGAACTTATCCCTTACCATGCTTACTCTTCCGAAATTCCTAGCTTATTCAAAGGCTAGAGTGTTTGCCACGGCATACTAGTAATTACGATTACGATTTTTCAAAAAGAAAAACAACGGCCTTTTTTCGAAATACGACACTCAAATTTCAATATTATATATTAGAAAAAAAAAGCTTCTGGACAGTCCGACACTGACAGTTAATTCACTCCAATTTGTGCAAGTAGTGCCATTTAAAAAAATAAAGGGTTTCTTCTTTAAAATCCTCTGGAATGTAACAAATTTTCCTGAGATTCAGAATATTTTTAGACTTGATTGAATTGTTCTAGCTCTGTGCCAAATTTCAAGTGAGTTGAGGCAGTTAAATTCTTTAAATTAATTTTTATGTTATATAGGAATATATTATAGCGAAATAATTGGTAATCTGTGTCCTATGATACATGTACTGTACACGTGAATTATTATATCGGAATCCAAGATTACGGTCTCAGTATTGTAATAAAGTGGACTAAATGTGAATCTATCCCATGCTTTTGTTTTCAAATATTTATATTTACATCTCTGAAATTAAATTCAGTGTCTTTTTGTCTTTTCTTTCATGGACATGGATTATATCGTATCATATTGATTTTGAAGAATTTTTGAATGAATTTAAATGGTTCCTAACTGTATATTTGAAAAAACTCCAAACAAGTTTGATCAACGTACTTAAATTAGAAAACGTTTAGACGAAACCTTGTATATGTTCACTATCAAAGTATATACATGTAACATTGTATAAATTAACTAAAAAAAAATCCTCTGTGAATATATTAGAAATTAATTGATTTACTACTTAAAATAAAATTTATTTTTAAATAAAATAAATGGGAAAAATACGACAGAATATTTAAATCATTTTATAATATATATGTGAAGTAATGTAAACGTTATTTTTTCCACGGGGTCACAATTCCACGGAATCACAAAGAACTGCGAACGATAGTATTGTTCTGCCGCCTCAAGTCAAATTTCAAAAGTTAACATATTTGAATGATTTTTCATATCTAATATAGGTATTTAAATATGTGAATTTTCATAAAACATAACTTATTTGGGAAAACAAAGAGAGATAACTCTTTAAATTTGGTAAAATCAGCGTTTTTCACTACAGAAATCAACGGAAAACATTTTAAAAACATCTCTCTCTCTCTCTCTCTCCCCCCCCCCCCCCGTGAAACAAAAATTCCTTTTTATAGGTTTTATGAATTGTTATTTCACAAACCCCCCTTTTGAATAAGAGTCGTAAATAAGAGCACTTAAGTTTTTGGCCCTGGTTTTAAAATTATTAATCAATTAATAATAAACTCTTCTTTGCATTCAAATAGGTTTTAATGGCCAAACTGCCATTTATATTGAATTAAATGGGTGCAAAATGTAGGCGGGAATTTCGAGTTAGCGTGCGTGGTTCTTCTGTTCAATTCGCGGACAGAAAATTATCCGAATTTTTTATTGCCTTTGCACGTCTTAAAGATTTTTAAACTTATACGCTGTGATATAATTTTTCACATATAGCGTTATTAATTAATCCCACGAGAAAAAGTACGTCTACAGTAGCTGGAATGAGAGAGAGAGAGACTTAGAGAGAGAGATTATCAAGCCATCCAGAAAAATGGAAAATTATTTAAAGAGAATATAAACACATAAAAACGAAAGAAAATTATTGAAAATAAATATATCTATATTTTTTTTATATATTTCCAGTCAAAATAATGTTAGAAGTACGTAACATTTACCCAAGAGATGATGATAAAGGACGAATTAAAAAATAGTTCTTATTATACTGTGTCACGACGATTCACGAAGAAAATTCAACGTTAGCAAATTTTGCTTAACTGAACGTTAGATGCATCCCTTTTCCTTTGGATTAAATTTTTGGTGAAAAGTTTACGTTGGTTATTGTATATAATTCTAGTTATCTCTCTTGTGTCGTGCGGATAAGAACTGTTATTAGCATGACCGTCGTGCGAATAACGAAAATAATCGGCACGACCGTCGTGCCGATAGACATTTCCAAATATCACACATGCTCTCAGCACCAAAAATGGCAGCTAAAAACAATGCAAAGGAAAAAAATTCCAAACTGACAGCAGTACGGGAATCTTCCGGGCCCCACGTTGGGCGCCAGTAAAGTAACTACCAGAGGTGTACTTCTATAATATTTATTGACACAATATATACAAGCTACACAGGTTCTGGCCCAGGTCGACTCCTCGTCTGTAACTGCCGCTGGGTGCGACTGCTCTCTTCGACATCTCGGTGCAGAAAGAGGTCCGTGCGACTGTCCCGCCATCTGACGAAACATCATCAGTGGGTCGTACCACGGGACAGTCGCACAGATACTACAATACTTTGACTAAGTTGGAGTGAAAAGTCCACCACCTAGACCCAACGTGACAGTCTCAAATTGAATCAAGTAAATTTCTTACAGATATGTTGGAACTTTTTTATTGCCAATTGTGCTTCATGACATCAAAACATTGGGACCACAAGTTACAGTACCAGGACTGATAATCAAAACATGTTTCCACTAGTCTAGGTCTATTTTCAGCGGAATCTTATAACATCTCAGTTTGTATTCAAAAACGCATTAATGATAGAGATCTGGGCCTTCTAAATTTAAAACCTGTCATGACAAACTAACAATTTCCGGAATATTTTGATCAATTTTACCGAAAAATTATTTAATGCGGCGGGGTAAACTTGAATGCGGCGGGGCTTGAGAACCGATCTTTAATTTTTTATTTGGCCTAATGAATATAAGTACGTAAATTGTGAAATTAATGTCCCCTGGGTTGTGACTCTTATGTTGACAGTGACTCTTATGTTGACAGTACAAAGTTAATCTTTTTTAGAGCAGCTGGGAATAAGGAACATTTTAATCAAAACATATTTTCACTTTCTGATCAACTAACTGCCTGGCTCCATCACCGTAAAACTGCAGCAGACACAAGTCAAAATAACTTTTAAAATAAATTTGCATATGAAACAATTTCCTCGTGTTTTTCTTTATATATTATACAAAATAACACACACTTTTGAAACAGATTTGCTACACATTCCCTTAGTAATTCTGTTTTCAGTTTATGGTCTTGGCCAGAAGTCACAACACAATCAGCTATCTGGATGACTCAGGTGATTTAGTCTCAAAGTCAAATTCATTAAAAACCAAGCAAAAGATAGTTTTCATGAGCTGCATACAAACATACAGTACATTGGTTCTTTTTGTTTTAATTTACATTGCAATAATTCTATAACATTATTACTTAATTCAACTTTGTAACAAAGTCAGTCTACTTAAGGCTGTTTTCAGCATGTCACTATCCATTAACCCCCATTGTTCTAGATTGGCTGTGTAACAAGTCTGATGACTCTTATTTCTAGGAATGTCATCCTCCATGCAATGTAGAAATAAATACAATTCTGTCATTTGGTTGAAGTTCATAATCAAGTTCACCCTAGAAGAGAAAAAAAAATGAGTTGGAAAATTCAAGTAGTTATCTATTAAGATAATATCTGGATACAACGGAAGAGGGTAAATAAATCAGCATTAGCTAACATATATGTTCAACTATGTAGTTAATAATTTAAAGATTAGCAATTAGTTAACTGTAAAATAAAATAAGTGTTCCTGCAACCCAATTCATAGATAAATGTATGTCATTGAAGTTTTTTCCAATATCCTTTATCATACTTTCAGCACACACTGTGTACAAAATGGATGTCAACCAACTACATCTTATTAATGTTAATGTTTTCTTTTTAAAACTCTAATTAAGAGATTCTAAGGTTAAACAACACAAACTTACAGTAGCCCATAGATAAGATCAACCTTTACCCATAGATAAAACACAGAAGAACATGGTTCCAAGTAAGCAACCTTCACATTGAGCCACATATTAAAGTTGATTTAAATTGATTTTTTTTAAGTGAGAGTCTGTTGACATTAATATCTTACTAATAGTTCCCAGTCTGCATCATTGACCAATACCAAGATTCCAGGTCTTCTGAAAAGAAAACAATGATGTGTCAAACAAAACTCAAAACAGCATATAGACAGAAAGGTAAACCACTGGTAGAAAGTTCTACTCACACTGTGTCTCCCTGCATAAATAATTCTGGACGTTCTTTCAACAGGTTATCCCTGATGTATGTCAAAAGATTACGTATTTTCCCTGTGTTAAACAAAATAAAACAACTTGAAAATTAAAATATTGGAATGTAGTTTGCAGGATACCAAAGAATTGTCCGCAAACAATTTTTGTTCTAATTTAAATTTTATGATTTAAAAAAAAATATTGGAAAATATCAAGAAATATTAATACAAGAGGCCCATGGGCCACATTGCTCACCTGAGCACATTATCTAGAAAAGCACAAATCAGTTCAGTATTGAAAAGATAAGGGGAAGGGGGGGGGGGGGGCTTGAATTTTAAACTACCTGGTGATGCTTCCATGTCAATATAACAAATGGCTTTGTTGTACTTGAGATTTAAAAAAAAATTCCCATATACTGTAGATTCCTTATTTTACGTGAGTACTTAATATCGCGAAATGGCCCAAGGGCGTCAAATCGCGAGAACAATAATTCGCGAAGGGGTTATTTATCTAGTGATTTTACATACATTAAAGCACCATAAAAATAAAAGCGAGTAATTTAATTTCGTGAGCGGTGCTTCTCGCGTAATTACACAATAATTAATTCTTCGCGTATATTTAGGAATCTACAGTATTCCTTTGTAAAAATTTGATCCCCATTGTGGCTCCTCCCTATCCCAGGGGTCATGATTTGAACATACTTGAATCTACACTACCTGAGGATGCTTCCATATCAATATGACTAAACATGGCTTTTCTGTTTTTGAGAAGAATTTTTTTTCTATATGTTCTTATGTAAAACTTTCGATCCCCCATTGTGGCCCCACCCTACCACTGGGGGGCATCATTTGAACAAAATTGAATCTACACTACCTGAGGATGTTTCCATATCAAAATGACAAAACATGATTTTATGTTCTTGAGAAGAATTTTTTTTCTATATGTTCTTATGTAAAACTTTTGATCCCCCATTGTGGCCCCACCCTATCCCCAGGTGTCATCATTTTAACAAACTTGAATCTACATTACCCTGAGGATGCTTCCATATCAAAATGACTAATCATGGCTTTGCAGTTCTTCATCAGAAGAAATTCTCTTATATATTTCTATTTAACATTTTGATCCTCCATTGTGGCCCCAACCTATTCTTCCGGGTCATGATTTGAACAAAATAGAATCTACACTACCTGAGGATGCTTCCACGTAAGTGTGACCAATCAGGGCTTTGCTGTTCCTGAGAAGAAGAGTTTTTAACATTTTTCTTATATATTTCTATGTAAAACTTTGATCCTCCATTGTGGCCCCACCCTACCCTGGGGGTCATGATTTGAATAAACTTGAATCTACACTACCTGAGGATGCTTCCATATCAATATGACCAATCAGGGCTTTCCTGTTCTTGAGGAGAAGATTTTTCCTATATATTTCTATGTAAAACTTTGATCCTCCATTGTGGCCCCACCCTACCCCCAGAGGTCATGATTTGAACAAACCTGAATCTTCACTGCCTGAGGATGCTTCCATATAAATATGAATTTTCTGGAACCAGCAAGATAATCAATCCCAGGGGATTAATTATACTGCTCTCTCAACCTTTTCTTCTAAGTTTACAATAAAAACTTTTTCAGCAATGATAGAATGAAGTTATTATCTGAGTACCTGTTAGAATAAATAGTATTCTTGAATTTACATAAGGCAGAAAAAAGAAAGAAAAAAGACAAAAATAAAATAATTACAAAAAAGATATCTTTATCTATATCTTGTTTTTAGAATTCAATAAAATCATAAATAACTCATTGTGTATTTTACCAAAATAAAGTATGAACATTATTTAAATCCACATATCAGAGAATGTAAACATCATTCAGAATTGACCTTAACTTCAAAACAAATTTCATTTGCAGAAAGAGGTCTTAATTAATCTTAATGTGACAGATAAAGATAAATGCTTTGGATTTTCTTCAAGATGAAAGTTAATTAATCCCAAGAGACTCATTGCAGCCTTTCATAGTTTACAATAGGAACATTCTCAGCAGTTATCTCTCTTTGCCCATTCACTCTTATATAAAGTTAAGGAATCTACTCCACCACCCCAGCTCCAAACTGGATGACACAGAGAACCAAACTTAGCATCAAAATATGTCTCACTGCCTATTCAACCAACATACCAAATTTGAACTAAATTGGTCAACCTTAAAAAAAGTTATTAGAAGAAAACAGAAAATTTGTGGACAGAAGAATGACAGACAGACAGACAGACAGAGTGATTATTATAGGGCACCCGCAAATCCTTGCGGGGCCCTAATAATCAATTTCAACGATTTTTTTTTCAATAAAGACACACAATAACCACTTTCAGCCTTTTTTAATACAGAAAATGGTAGTTAAACTTCGGTATCTCGAACACTGACATCTCGAATACCACAGATATTTCGAAGTGATTTTGAAGTCCCAACCTCTTTATTCTTTAAGTATTTAACCCTGGATATCTCAAATGCTCAGATATCTCTAAGTTTTTTTCTCGGACCCATTGAGTTCGAGATAAGGAGGTTTGACTGTATTTTATTTTATGTGAATGTTTTTTTTTAAGGTCAATATTTTTCTTGCGAGTTAAAAGTTTAATACTTTCTTTCAAAAGAGGATGAATTTAAGTTATTATAATAAACATTTTTTCTTTTAATTGTACTTTAATGTTTGAACTTTTTAAAACATCTTTTAAATTCAATTTCATGATGTTAAACTTTTTTATGATAGTTCTTGAACTTCAGTTGATGGAAATATATTGCATACACTCATATATGATCCATTTGATGTTACCTATTGCATCTATATTTATCTTTTTATTTGCATTTTCTGTATGGGAAAATGCTATATATTGAATATAATGTTTCTGTATAAACTGAAGGTTAATTATGAATTAAACTTTCTGTATACCCTAGATGCATCATCTGTGCAAGTTTGGTCATGATATGGCTTATATAAATTCATAAGAATGAAACCTGCTCTAAAATCTTTAACCTGATTACTCATCCAGAAAATGTAAATCAGATCCAGCATCTGAAGCAAGTCTGGATAGTGTGCATCCCTAGCTGCATCATCCATACAAGTTTGGACAACAAGCTGCTTTGCTCCAAAAACTTTAACATGCTCTGAAAAAAATCAAACAAACTATTTTCATAAAAGCATTACATCCTAACACATCTAATTCATATTTGGATATTTTACTAGAAAAAGGCATTAATGGTAACCTAACAACAAAGCTTAATGATAAATAACATGACTTCAACTTTTCAATCGTCAACTTCCCTTACTTATGTAGCAATATACCCTTATCACCTGCATATGTGGTTTGTATGTCTCTCAGTTGATTTGATACACAAGAGCATTCTCTACGTATTAACAATTTCTAAAATGAGGGCAAGCTATCGACAAACAAGTTGACAAAACAAGGATATCAACAGTCTTGTTTGAATTCATAATTTCGCAAGTTTTTTCATTGATACAATGACCTTGTCAGCAGATACAAACGATCATTGAGTCAAATGCTGACTGACATAGTAGTTGTTAGGCAATACCTAAGGTTGCTTCTGTTTGTTTGTTTGTATTTTGTTTAACGTCCCTCTCAAGAATTTTTCACTCATATGGAGTCGCCACCACTTGCCGGTGGAGAGCTGCAAATTTTGTCTTATACACGACACTTACAGCCATTGAGCAGTGAGGGATCTTTTTCGTGCCAGCACCTACTGCAACACGGGACCTTGGTTTATACGGTCTCATCCGAAGGACCGGTCTCCACATCCAACAGTGGGATTGGAACCCGCGACGTAAGGATCAACTCCTTACTTTGCGACTCTGCTCTAACCACTGCACCATGCGGGCGACAAGGTTGCTTCTGTATATATATGACTAATAATGGCTCAGTTGTTTTTGAGAAGAAGATTTCAAAGATATTTCTTATGTAACGTGTATGATCAGGTTCTTACAAGGGATGCAGGTGTCATAACAGTATTTCACTTGAGGTTCACGTCAAATCATGGCTGACTCAAAATAATTCCTGAATCTTCCCTTCCGATTTGGGCATTTTAACACGAGACTGGAGCTGAATTTTTTTACGAGATGAAAAACAATATGTAAACTTCCTGTATTGACTAGATTCATTATAATTTAGGGTGTGCTGATTTTTCTATATACTGTGTATTTGAGTGGGGAGTGATTAGGTCCTGGACTTGATTTTCAAGCACATGCTCGACTTCGACCGAAACAAACTTGCCTGCTTTGCTAAATGGCTATGTATTTTTTGGTACTAAAATCTTTATAAAGAATTGTTCTACAAGATCTGAAAAGGAAACTTCTCAAAAGTTTGTTTTCAATTAATACCACCTACTCAAAGTTGCATTTTTGGTAAGCATATATAGCAAAATTTAATACTGTTGTGCAACCTATATAGGTTTTCCCTTTACTCTGAGTTAATGATTGGACAGCTATGTCTGAGGGTATATCACATAGTACTTAAATTTTTCTTTCATCTAGAGATGGGGACTGGGTAAGGTTCTACTTGCACCGTGTTTCTCCCCTAGGTTCCCACTGATAGATAAGAACCAGTTGTCTCAATCTTCTTCAGATTTACTACACCCAGAACTTAAGTACTTAACAAAGATTGCATTGAAGTCTATAGAGCAATTTTTTAAAAATAAAAATTCAAATAATATCAATAAATACTGTAGTGACAAAATGCACTAAAATACATTACAAATAAAATGAAAATTGAAAATGATTTTTTTTACCAGGTAAAATTTAAAATCGATTTTTTTTATTAATTAGAAACAGAGGGAGATAACTCTTAGCAAAATTCAAGGTCATAAATTAGGACAATCCCACCCTTACATGCTAATAGTAATAAATGGGAATTATGTCTAAATATACTGAGTATTCAACACCTACACATTTGCTATGTATTCAATTTCATTGAATCTTTTGTTATTAGGATGGCATACCTTAACTTCTTTATTGCTGATTCATCATCTTACTTCTTCAGCTACCTTCTGAATACCTGACTTTCCCAATGCTTGCTTTAAATA